TTACTTTGTTTTAATTACTTATTTATTATTTTAATACAAGAAAATCAATTATACATAGAAAGTGATATAAAACAGTAATAACAAAAATAAATAAGTAAATAAATAAAAGCTGAAATACATTATTTATTATTGTTTCTTTTCTTTTCTTTTATTTTTTTAGGTTTCTGTACATTTGTAAAAGTTATACTGAAATATATATAAAAATAAATAAATAAATCATGTGGTGTTTTGAAAAGTTGATAAAAAATTAACATTTTGATTTTTTGACTTTTTTTGATGGCGTTTTTGGCAAAAAGTTAAGTTCTTTTGAATAAAAAAAATTAATTTTTTTCACTAAAAAAAGTTAAAAAATAAAAAAACTGTCTTTTTTTTTGTGTGTTCCCAAAGTGCCCCTATATAAAAGTACCTAGGCCACTTGTTCAAGTCTATGCCTCTGAAGCTTTTGCGTGTGGAAGATTTGTACAAGGTACCTGGGCCACGCGTTTGTTTGGTTTTTTTTGGTCCTTGGACTCACACAACGTTATTTGGAAAAATTCTACTAATACCGAAAAATTGTTAAAAAAAATTATCATGATAGGTTAATGTGGTTGAATTGAATTTAAACGATACATTGATATTTTTAAAAAATTTAGGCCTCGTTTGGGAACAGACTAATTTAGTAATTTTTTGACTATTTAGTTAAAAAAGTAGGTAAAAAAAACTTATATGTTTGGGATGACTTTTTAGCTAATTACGAAAAGATGTCCAAAAAGTAGAGAGAAAAGAGAATCTTTGACTTTTTGGTATGAGTTGTTGTCGGTTTACAATATGAATAGGCCGTTCTTCAATTTTGGGGAAAGATATGCGTTGGCCAACCAATGGTCTCACCTCTTTTATAATAGGGAGGTGATTCAGCTGGGTGAAGGAAGAAAAATGAAAAGAAGATAGAAAGAAGGAAAGAAAGGAAAGAGAAGGGAAGAAAAGGAAGAAAAAAATAATGGAAGTCGAAAGGGTCTTTGATAGTAGAAAGAAAGAGTGAGATATTAAAGTTAAGGTGAGTTATATTATATTTTGAGTTACCATAATATATTTTATCTATGTTTTGACTTACCATAAATTATTTTATATAAGTTTATGTTTTATAAATTATATTAATATTTTAATTATGTGGGTTATTCTCTGAACCTTATTTGTTTAAAATGAAACCCATGGATACGTTTGTTTATATTTTAAAAAATATTTGACTATAACCTTATAAACAATTATGTTTTGTAAGTACTACCATATGAGTCCCATGCCTTGGAGGACTTAAATAACCATTGACCTCTATTTGACCACTTTGTGACCTTCTGTCTGTCAAGATCTATTGACCCTCTGATTTCTGGTGTGGAGCAAAGTGTTGTACGGAGCTAAGTGCTACACTGTTGTGGGAGCCACCTCTAGAGTTCGTACGAGCCACCTCTTGAGTCCATACATATATTCTGTTCTGTGCTGTGCGGAGATAAGTGCTACACTATTGTGGGAGTCACCTCTATAATTTGTACGAGCCACCTCTTGAATCCGTACCTCAGTTCTGACTGTCACTCCTGTGACCTCTATTCTGTTTTGTTCGGTACTGTGGTTATGGTTATTTATTTACATAATTTATGTGTTTCAGTTTTTGCCACTTAAATGATTTATTTACTAAATTGAGGCCAAGTTCGGCATGACCTAAATAATACAAAAAGTTAAAAAGTCACTATCCTATTGAAGTCACATCATCTTATTTAAATCACATCACCTCTCTAACACATCACATCAAACCTAACCCAAACCCAACCCATATAAGCCAATAAGTCAAAAAGTGCACTTTTTTAGAACATCCCAAACCAACCCTGAGTTATGTAAATGTTTTGGCTTAATTAACCATCTACGGTTATTTTGTGTCCCTTGTACTCTTGGTATAATATTTCTCACTCTGCTATATGCTTATAACTGTTTACCAATTTTCAGGAAACAATGCAATTCAGAAATAGCTTTTGGAAAGTCTTAGACGCAGGGCTATAGAATAGACACACATAACATTTTTTATGATATTTTTTATATGTAAATATTGACTTTTTTAGTCAATAAATTTTGTAATAAAAATAGAAACTCCGATGATTATTTTGGTACCCTCATTTAAATATTACTTCTGCTCACGTTTATTAATTTATTTAAGAATTGACCGGAAGTAACCTCAGTTACTGGCCATGACGATGTTTAACCCTTGGGTACGGAGAACGGGTCGTGACAACTACAACCATCATCAACACCGCCTCGACTATTGTTACCACTTGTACCATCATATCACCACTATAGTTACTGTCATCGCTGTCAGTTCTCCACCACCATCACCATTAGTGTCATTGTTGTCATTATTATCATCATTACCATATATAACAATATCATTTTACTATTACCCTCATAGTACTCAATGTAATTATCACCACTACTACAATAAATCTATAACTCCTACATTTACAATCATTGCATAGTAATTACTCTTCCATCACCACAACTATTATCATTTTACTTCCACCATCATTGCCATTATGATGAAAAACATTTTACTCGTTTTTTTGGCCAATCAAACAATGAAAAATAAAATATTATACTGTAAAATAAACGTGACTTAATAAATTCAATTTCAAGTGCGACATATTGTTATCAAACAACACTAGTTCTGTTTCATATTTAGGGTCATCTAAAAAGCTAACATATCTCTTGTGGGAAGGAAAAAAAAAAAAACCAATATATTAGTTTATTTGGATCGTATAATTTCTTTAATTTTTTCACTTTTTTTCATAATAAACCAATAAATTAAAAGAAAAATCATTTTCCAAAATAGACGTAAATAAGCTCATAGAAAAAATAATACTAAAGATATTAGTTTATTTGGTACTATTCTAATTTTTTTTTAAAACTTTTTTAATGTCATTTTAGAGTGATTATAGTGATTTTCTTATGAGAAATTAATTTTCCAAATGAAATAAGATTTTTTTAGTAAAATAATTTTTTTTAGCCAATAAGTTAATTTTTTAATTCCAACCAAACAATAGTTATAAAAGAACGGATAAAAGCAATTCTAAATGTGTTATACTTCATGCCAATTTTAAAATTAAATTTGACAATAATTTCAAAACTCACCTTCAATAGTGTGTCATATTTCATATTAAATTAAATTAAATTAAATTATAGCAATGTTAATACATGTGCTAAAGTTGAAACATTCGGACAAAATACGAAAATTTAGCAAAAGTTATTCCCTATCTCTGTCATGATGAGATTTACAAAAGATATTTACATTTAGTTTTTTTGTGATTTTTTAAAAATATAATATATATTATATTATATTTTTAATCTTTGTATTTTTTTTTATCGATTTAGTTTCGATAATTCTAATTATATCAATTTATAAATTTTTTTACATTAGTCTAATTAACATTTAGTAAAAAAATGAACGGAAATTACGTATAAGTAGTCAACTCAAAAGGGTACGTACCATTTCAAATTATAAGTTAACCTTTCTTTTACTTTGAAGAGAATGAGTGAACTATTTTGTACTTTGATTTTAGTCTTATTTTTAAAGTTTTACTTTATCAATTGAGTTAAATTAACACAATATAAAAAATTTAAGGTGTAATTGATGAGACTAAGGCCTCGTTTGGGAACATGCTAATTTAGTAACTTTTTAGCTATTTGGCTAAAAAAGTAAGTAAAAAAAACTTATATGTTTGGGATGATATTTTGGCTAATTATGAAAAAATGTGCAAAAAGTAGAGAGAAAAGAGAATCTTTGACTTTTTTGTATGAGTTGTTGGCTTTTTGACTAAAAAGATATCTTTTTGACTTTTTAGCTAAAAAGGTAAATCCCCAAACAGGGCCTAAAACTATAATAATCAAATTGATCTCAATGACAAAGTATGAATATAATTTATCATATATATGTATATATAAACCATTTAAATAAGGTTAGGTGCTTTATCTGTTTGTGGTTTCATTGCTGGTTGTTTTGTCTGATTCAATAATAACATTTATCCTAGTGAATTTTACAGACTTATTGAACAAGCTTCTCAAATTCAAACATTTACTTTTCTAGTTGCAGTCAAATTAAGAGATAGCACTGCCAAAGGCAACCAACTTCTAGTGAATAGTAAGATATAACTTGGAGGTGCCTTAGCAACCCAATTTGTAGTAGATTTATCTTGGATTAAATTGCCCAACTCATGCAAAATGATAACTAATGAGTAAAGAATTCTATGATGAGGAACTTTATTAAAATTTATCCAAAAAATATTCATAAGTTATAATCTAAGAACAAGATTCATTGCCTCACAATAATTTTAAATTTGTATCATAATACTTTTTTTTTTTGTTAAGAGTGCCCCCTCATTGTTTGCATGCATTGTATTATCTAATTTACGGATCAAAATTGATTACATTCAAAATTATACAGAATTAACATTTAAGGTTATGCATGATTATATACGAAATACCATTTTTTATTTTCTCTTAAACCCTATGGGGGTGTTTGTTTTGAGGGATTGAGTGGTGAGATTTAGGGATGACAATGGGGATCCTACCCTATAGGTATTCATAGAGATCCAACCCAAAAAATTTGGGAGAGTTGTTTTAGAAATTTTTTTAGTTTGTTTGGTTGTATATTTTGAAAGTAATTTTGGAGTTTGGGAGTTTGAAATAATTTGATATTTTGTTGTAATTGAGTAGATGCGTGTGAGAGAAAAAGTGATTGAGAAGGAGAGAAGAGAGAGAAAAATTGATTGATTGATTGATGTGTAAGAGAGAAAGTTATTTTAGAAATTTTTTGAGAAAAATCTCAAACCAAATAATTTTAAAAATTTTTTTTTTCTAAAACTCATCACTAAAACTCAAACCAAACGTACTCATGAATTTTTCCCCTGTTTTTTTACCCATAGGATTAATTAAGTGGTTTTTTTAAACATTCATAGGATATGGGTCGGGAATGGGTACCCGCCCATTTCCCCATATGTTAGGGTTCTCATTCTCAAGCTCACTCTCACGGTTTCTCATTCTCACTCTCACATAGCATCGAAGGCAACGATCTCTATAGGTTTTGCAAAGGCAACGATCTAGCGGCGGCGATCTCCGTCGGCGTTACCAAGGTGGTTCTCCGGCGTGGTGAGTTTCTCTATCTCGTTCTCTCGTTCTCTCTTTCTCTCTTGTTCTGTGTGTGTTTACAAATTCATCTATTCGTCACTTTCTCAACTTCCAGACAGAGTTGTTGCTTCACAGAGTTGTTGGCACTCTATTGCAATTGGCGAAACCTGTCGAAGAGACTTACGCATCAATCAGCAGAAAATACGGTTAGCTTCACAGAGTTGTTGCTTTGATTCATGGAAATTTTAACTCAATGTTGTTTAAAGCTATGGATTTAAATCAGTTGTGAATTCTGATGCATTTGGAAATTATTAGCTTTGATTTCTCATGTGGAAGATGAAATTGATTTACTGTCTATTTATTTTCTTGGGACTTTGCTATGTTATGTTATGTTAAAAGGGTTTAGGGTCAAAATGGATTGCATAAAAGCTTTGTTACAAAAATGGCAATTCCCTCTGCAAATGATCAAGATCAATATAGCTACTCCTTAAGTTTTTAAGCAAATAGGTCATCTCTGTTTTGATGATTGGTTGCTTTATATAGTCAAAATAAAATGAGTGTTTTAATATTTCCATTGAATAAGAAGAGAGAGAGAGAGAGAGAGAGAAGAGAATGTTGGGTGGAAAGTTGATCCCTTTTAGCTTGTAGAGACAGAAATAGGGGTTTTTAGAGAGAGAGAGAGTCTTGGGATTTTAGGGATTGTTTCAGGTACTAATCCAATCTTTCAATTTTACTTTCATCAATTATTGATCAATACTGTTGAATTTTCACTTTGTTGTGTTGATCAGCTGTTGAATTGGCTAATGCTCCTCTGCTCATGTAAAACTAATTAAAGAATGGATCCATTCTCCTAAGATCTGAAAAAATAAAATAAAATAATGAAGAAAAGAAATAATAAGATTAACCAGTTATGATTTGTCCAAATTATTGTTGATGTTAAAAAGTATGCCCAATTTAGTCCCCATTGGATGGGGGTTTGGGAGGGGTAGAGTGGGTGGTTGTTGTTCCTGTTATATCCATAGTATGTGATATTCATAGGACTATTCTTCCCATTGGTTTACATAAATCATCATCTCAGTAAATAAATAAATACATGCTTCTTTTGATGTTTGCCTCTTGCTCTAAAGGTGATTGTGGAGAAGGCTGAGAGAAGTGATATTCCTAACATCGACAAGAAAAAGTAAGTGAAGTTATTTTCAACTTGATAGCAAATTTCTGTCTAGCTAATTATTTTGGAAGTATTTATCCTTTGTTTGTTTATCACCCTTATGCCAACCATAGTTACCACAAGTGAATTGACAAGTTGTCCAAGTTTGGCATGGAAATCTGCACACCTTTCTCTCATCACCTAGAAATTAATAATGGACATGACCTGCAATACTCGTCTCGAAATGTAATATATGTGTGGAATATTCTTTAGTATGCCTTGAATAGCTCCTTCATGTTTTTTCCTTTATCTTTTTCTATCTATGTATATATATAACTGCATGAAGGCTGAAGTAAGATTGAAATTGAAGAAAATGAACAAATGGAAAAATTTGCAGTCATGTTGATGCAGCACTAGGAAGAAGAATAAATTGGGAATTACAATTCCAAAACAACTCTCAATAATCAATTGTTCAATATTCATTAAGTCTAGTCTCAAAATCAAATTCAAGTTACCAAAAATAAAACCCTTGCAAATAATTTAGGGGTGGTTTGACATCCCCCATATAATCTATCTTTTTATCTTTTTTTATCACATCACCTCTCTACTTTTCTGCACATTTTTTCGTAAAAAGACAAAAAGTGCACTTATTTAGATTATTCCAAACAACCCCTTAATAAAACCTAGAAATAATCCTAATAAAGAAAATAAAATAAAATAACTTTATTTTTCATTTGTTGTCATCCAATGCCTTTCCGGTCCGCGTCACAGGTATGTGGTATTGGCTATTACATGCCTCTCGTTTTTTGGAGGGGAAGGTGGGATGCAGTTGTTTTGTGTAACTCGTTCCACGCATCTCTCTCAGTTGCTTGCTCAATTTGAAGGGTTGACCCCAAGAACTACCTCCTGAATGATGCAAAGTCTATGGCTGAGGGACAGTGATTATTTTAGTGTTTATTTGCTTTACTAGTATTGAAATCCTTTTGATTGATTTGAATAAGATTGTTAGGGACATGATTGTCCAGGCTGACCTGATATGGGTCTAGTTGAATTAAGCCTTACTATGAACATCTAACTACTTTAATTATTTTGTGCAATTCATTTATGATGTTTAGAATTACACAGATAGATACTTTGACATACATATGTATTTAGAGTGAAGCTATCCATATGTAGGTTTTGGTTGGCAAAGAGTTTGGTTCAAAATTTTTGTACCGAATGGTTAGTCCCAAATCCATTGGACTATTGTGTCCCATAGGGGGGTGAAACGCAAATGGAGAGATAAGGAGGCATATGGGATTAGGTGGTGAAATGACCATTTTGACCCTCTTCTATTTAATTATGTATTATATTTAGTAAAATTTAATAAAATTTAAATGTCTCAATTTAAAAATAAAATTGTTTTATTTAATTTTTATTGATGTTTTATTTATTTAATTTTTTAAAATAATTTTTTATAGATGTTTTATTTTCAAATTTTGTTTATATTTTATTTAATTTCATTATTTAAATTTTAATGGATGTTTTATTTAATTTCATTATTTAATTATTATTATTTTAAAATAAATTTATTTAAAATTTTAATTAAAAAAATAACATATATCTTTATTGGTATTTTATTTATTTAATTTTTTAAAAATAAATTTATTTATTTGTGTAAAAAAAATAAAATAATTTTTTATTTAATCTGGTTAAAAATAATTAAAATATTAAAGATATGTTTAATATTGCTATTATTTAGTAAATAATTGAAAAAGGGTAAAATAGCCATTTGAACATTTATCTTTCTCCATAATATCCTAAACAAACATAGTATTCATATCATATCTAACCAAATAGTCATTTTCTGATATGTAATCCCATGATTAAACAAATATGGGATACAAATCCAGTTCAATCAAATAGTCCGGGGACAATGTATCCCAAGATTAACAGTCCGATAAATTATAATCCCTCTTATTCAGTCCGTCCAAACAAACCCACCCTATATCTCTTATCCAAAGGAGGTCTTATTTTACTAAGAGTATTTTTTCGAAAAAAACTCTGTTTGGTAGAGCTTTGGAATTTTAGTTCCAGTCATTGGTTCTCACGTGGTGTTTGTTTGTAACTTTCAAAAATTAATTCCACGCTCAATTTGAAAGCTCGGTCGAAAGCGGGAAAATTTGAGCTAACCGGTCATCCCATCGGACGTTCTACCGGACGTGTCACCGGTCGTCCGACCGGTTGACCGGAACTGTGCAATTTTTTTTTTGTTGCAATTGACACATGTTAATTTTTATATATTTAACAAAAAATATTTTCCGAATTTTTAAATTTTTTTTATGAGCTTTAATAGAATTTTGAATTATGCGTTTGGTTTTGAGTTGTAAGTTTTTGTATCAAATATCATATGTCACATCACAAATTTTCCACTCAATTCAAAACTTATTCACTAAACAAAATTTTCACACTCAAATCATTATTTCAAAATTCTCAAACTCAAAATATAACTCCTATTCTCAAATCATATTTAGAAAGTTTTATCAAATATTACTTCTATTTATTTTGGTATGGATAGCAGACATGTCGGCCATGTAAATTTTTACTTGATATTGGGAGTAATTTGCTTTATGATGATGGTAGGTAAGAGTCCGTTTTCAATTTTAGATAGCATTTTTGAATGACATGGCTAGAAAAAGGGGGGCTCATGTTGATGGGGCTCTAGTTGAAGAGGCCCATTTTGGCTGCTTTGGGAGTGTGTTGACTTTTTTTTTTTTTTTTAAATCGATTAGAGAATAATTATAAATATAAAAAAAATTTATTATCAAATAAATTACTAATTTACAATAGTTAAAAAAATCAATAGAATCTAATACAACTAATAAACCAAGCCCCATACTAAATTAAACTACTATCACTCCCACAAGTCCAAACTCAACAATTACAACTCTCATAATGGTGGATAAATAAACCATCCTATAAAAGATATCGAACTTCTCTTTATAGGAGTTGAACTCAAAATTTCACATCAAAGAAGGCGTTAATCAGGTCCTTTTTCGCAATACATCGATTTTGCAGGGTTAATGCTGAAAAGAAAAAGCAAACGCCCCCAAAACTCGCTGCAACAAAGTTCGCAGGAGCTCGATCTTCCTGTCGGCGAGGCAAGGCTTTGGGTCACCGGCCACTCTTTCTCTCTCTCTTCTCTCTCTCTCTCTACGCATATATATATGTATGTATATTATTGGTAAATTGATTTTGGACTTTTGTATATGCAAATCGATTGAGATTTTGAGAGTTTTTGTGGGTTGTTCTATGCAGTTTTGATCGGTGGGAGAGAGATTTATTCAATGGCCAAGAATTCGAGACCAAGGAAATTATCTGTATACCTTTACATTCCCAACATCATTGGTGGGTTTCTAGTTTACTCTCTCCTTCTTTACCAGTTAGGGCACAACATTGTTTTTTAAGATTGCGATTTTTCTCTTCCCTTTCAAAATTGGTGTTGATTGCATAACACTACAGTATAGCATTGCCATTTGATTTTGTATTATGTGTCCATAAATTCATTTCATGGGTATGCAACAAATTATATAGAATCATTTCATGGGTATGCTTATATGGGTATGCAACAAATTAAATGTAATTCGATTCTTGTTGCTATTCTGCAAATAGATTATTACTTGTATATTCGGTTTGCATCTTGTTATCTTGCCACTTTTGGGTTATTAATGCTTAGATGGGTAGGTATATCACATTTTCATGTTAAGTCATGCTCAAGCCATATCCTAATTTCTTTAAAAGCTTTTAGTAGCGGCTCAAGGTTTCTAGAGGCGTCAGACCAAACATTAAAATGAGTCTTTGGAAAATTGGGGCTTTCGACAATAATAATTTTTTGAATTTTTTTTTATAAGGTCTTAGGCAATTTGATATATGAACCACTCCAATGGACAAACTCAGGTTTAAGCATACATTTGAGTGAAAGCTTTACTAATGACAGGCAAATTTGAGAGCCACAAAAAATAGCCTTGAAAATTTGAGTAAACATTTGAGTCTTTGAGTGAAAATTCGAGTAAAACTCAGTTTTGATATAAGTTTGGGTTACGGAGTGGAGAGTGTTTTTGAGTGATTTTTATCCAAATTTAAATTTGTTATCGGTTTCAGCCAAGGATTGGAGATGCCCTTTATATGGGAATGCATGATTCATTAGAATTATTTTCTATGGTTGGTTACTCACATATTATATTCTTCCATTTGCTTCATTTAATTCTTTTATGCTTCTATGTGTATGCAGGATACATAAGGGTTCTTATGAACTGCTTTGCCTTCTACATTTGCTTTTCAGACAAAAAGCTTTTCTCGGTTCTCTATTTTGTTAGGTGATAACATATTTTATTTGTTTATGTATTATGTATTATTTTTTGTTCATAATGATTTTTGTAGCCCCTATTTGTGTGTAGAGGTTAAAGTGTTAAATGCTTGGATGTGTGGTTTCAGCTTTGTCTGTGATGCCTTGGATGGTTGGTTTGCTCGCAAATTCAATCAAGGTACGAATTTGAATTCATTAGTTCTATCCGGATCAGCTATACGTTACTTCAGTGTCTAGTCCCAATTAGATGGGATAACTTCCTGATAATACAAGTTGCACACTCTGGGTTTCTTTATTTACATAAGATGCATGACTTGAAGCAAAACAGGAATGACTAGTTACTTTATATATGAAATGGAGCACTAAAACAATTTATTATCTATACAACTCTAAAATTTTTGCTGCAATAATTTTATTTGCTTGTTTCTTTCCCCTCCCCTCATTCTAATGTCTATGTTTTAGAATGGACTATGTGATCTCTTCCTCTGTGTGTGTCCTCCCTGAAACCTAATGTACTTAATACACATTTTAGTTATTGATAAGCAGTAGAAGAGTTCCTCTAGAAATCTTAGTAAATTAACAGAAATTTTCTTGTTTTAGAGAATTTGAAGTTGTTACTGAAATGACTGTCAGCTGGACTATACATCTTGTTTGATAGCAAGGTTGCATACTATTGCTGAACTGCTATAATTTAGGGTCTTTTGCAATTTCATAAATATTAATGGGTAATTTGATTTACATTTCCCCCTTTCTCCTCTTATTTCCAGTTTCGACCTTTGGAGCGGTTTTGGACATGGTTACAGATAGGTAATCTTCTATAAAACTTCCCCCCACCTCTCCAATAACACACACACACACACAAAAAAAAAAAATGAAGAAGAAGAAAAAAAAGGGACAATTTTCCTCTGTCATCTTCTGTAGTGTTTTTATTATAAATATCCTCAATTATTCCATTTTCTAGTTTGACCGTTTTGATCACAATGTCTTGTGCTTCAGGATTAGCACTGCTTGTCTACTGGTAATTCTCTCCCAAATATATAGGTAGAATTTACTCTACCCTGTTTTTGTAGTAACTGCACCTTGATTTATTATGTGTTTTTGAGGTTTTCTATGTGATATTTTCCAGGCCTGGCCTAGTTTTCTTGTCATTGCTTGCTTTGGATATTGCCAGCCATTGGTTGCAGATGTACAGGTATTTTGACATAAGAATTTATATTTTTCATGTTATATTGTATATTTGAATAAGCTTGAATGGATCTGGCAATTTGATGTTACAAGTCTATTTTCGAGAGAACTTCTGATGAATCATTATTTTTTTCCCCCTTCCCCACTTCTTCATTGCAGTACTTTCTTGGTAGGCAAAGTGAGTCATAAAGATGTAAAAGACAGTACTAATTGGCTATTCAAGGCATACTACGGCAATCGGATATTTATGTGCTATTGTTGTGTTGCTTGTGAGGTGAATGTTTCTTTGGATTACCTTTATGGTTAAGACAATTCTTTCATGTCTATGCTATTTTTCTCTTAGTCTGAGTGGCTTTGTTCTGCAGGTTCTTTACATTATTCTATTTCTTCTTGCAAAGAACCAGAATGAGAATCTGAAAAATGTAAGGCTTCATTTGGTTGAGTGTGTTAAAGTTTCTGCCTGAATGTTGTGACTTGTGAGGATTTACCCGGTTTATTTGGTTTTATTCTGTTGTTTTAGGTTATAATGAATGCTACAAAACAGAACTCAGTTCTTTCTGTTCTACTTGTTTTACTTGTGGTTGGATGGGCTATCAAGCAAGCAGTAAATGTTATACAGGTAAAAAGTGCTGCTTTACTTAACCTACCTAATTAAATGTGTCACATATTAGTTTAAATTCCTACAATGGGTTGATGTGAGCTTAATTTTTCATGTTATATTTTGTATATAAATGTGTAAGTTTGTATTCATATGTTAGATTTGTGCATATGCTTTTGATGCTTATTTATGTCAAGATTCTTTGTAATAAACATTTGCTAGTGACTGTTGTAAGTATTATGGAATGAAACCAAACCAAACTAAGCCTTAAGTCCTATCAAATAGGGTTGGCTACATGAATCCTTCTTCTTCACTCGACGCTATCAACGGCCATTTGGTTAGTCAAATTAAGAAGATTCATATCTCTATTTATTACTCCTATCCAGTCACGAATATACTTATTCTTAACTCTGCCTTTTCTACTTTAGTATTTTCATCTCAGTAACACTCATCTTATCTACATGTTATTTCATAGTTGGCCAACATTCCGTCCCATACAACATCCCTGGTCTAATAGCCATTCTATAGAACTTTTCTTTTGGTCCAGTGTTTAAGTCACCCCGCCTTAATTCTATGGACCACATCCGCTCCAATCTCCCCAGCTACCGTGATAATCGATCATAAATAATAAAAATGTTCACTCTTAGGTAGTTCTTGGTTTTCAATTTTCACTTCTCCTCTGTTTCTATTGTTATTGTTACTATAATTACACTCCATGTATTCTGTCTTAGTTCTGCTTATCTAAAATTGTTTAGATTCAGGTACTTCTCTCCAAGTCTCAAACTTAATGTTAACTCATTCTTTAATCTCATCCACTAACACGATATCATCTGCAAAAAAATATACACCATGGCACATTATCCTGAATATTTCTTGTCAACTTATCTATAATTAAAGCAAAAATGTAAGGACTTAAGGTTGATCCGTGGTATAACCCTATAGTAATTGAAAATTCACTTGTTTCTCCAGCAGGCAATTTTATAGTGGTCACCACACCTTCATACATGTTTCTAATCACATCAATGTAACGTTTTGTCACCCATTTCTTCTCTAACACCCACCATATTATATCTCGAGGCACTTTATTATATACTTTCTCAAGATCGATAAAAACAATATAAGTGCCTCTTTTTTTTTTTTTCTATACTTTGCTATTACTCTTCTCAAAAGATAGATCGCTTCTATTGTTGACCTACAGGCATAAATCCAAATTGATTCTTTGACACCTCTGTTATATCTTGCAATCGACGTTCCATCACTCTCTCCCACACTTTCATTATATGACACATTAGTTTAATTTTTCTATAGTTGTTGCAATTCTGGGCATCTCCTTTATTCTTATAGCTTGTTACTAAAATACTATTCCTCCACTCCTCTGGCATTTTCCTAGTCAACAAAATCTTGTTAAATAACCTAGTCAACCAAGCAATGCCTTTTTTACCCAAATATTTCCAAGTTTCAATAGGGATATCAAGCCTTATTTGATTTCATCTTCTTAAGTGCAATCTCTACTTCAAAGTTCTTAATCTTGCAATAGAACTTGTAGTCTTGGTTTTCGTTATTACTGGCTACTTCCTCCCCTTTTGACCTTCCTCTATGTTCGTCATTTAACAACTTCTCAAAATAGTTCTTCCACCTCTCCTTAATCTCTTCATCCTTCACCAACACCTTAAAGTCCTCACTCTTGATACACTTAACCTGATTAAAATCTCTTGTTTTCCTCTCTCTTATCTTAGCAAGTTTGTATATTCTCATTTCTCACTCCTTACTAGCTAGTTTAGTGTATAGGTCTTCCTAAGTTTTCAACTTAGTCTCTCTCACTACTTTTTTGACCTCTTTATTAGTCAATCTATAGCTCTTAAGGTTTTCTTCAGTTCTATCCTTTTGTCACTTTTTAAAGTATTCTTTTTTCGCCTTTACTACCGCTTGAATCTCCTCCTTCCGCCACTAAGTTTCCTTAGAGTTGGGTCCCTTTCCTTTCGACTCTTCAAGAACTTTCCTTGAAATTCTCCTCATTCAATTGGCCATCGAGTTCCACATAGTGTTAGCATCATCTTCTAAGTCCCAGGTACTTTTTTTATCCATTCTATTCTAAATATTTCTAGTTTATCTCATTTTAGGCCCCACCATCTTGTCTTACGACACCCACTATTCTTCCTAACTTGGTATTGCCCTTTAAAGTATAAATCTAGTACAAAAATCTTATGTTGAGACGTCACTCTCTCCAAGAATCACCTAATAGTTGCTGCATTTTAGATAGTCCACTTTTTTTTTACTAGAAAGTAATCTATTTGGCTTCTAATTGACCCACTCTTAAAGGTTATCAAATGTTTCTCTCTCTTCGTATACATAGTATTGGCCACCATCAGGTCAGAAGTCAACGCAAACCCTAAAATACTCTCTCCAGCCTCATTTGTATTACCAAAATCATACCCACCATGCATCCTCTCATAACCTAGTTTATCTATTCCTATATGGCCATTGAAATCTCCACTTATAATTAGGTTTTCTCCTACGAGTATCTCCTATAATACCTCTTCCATTTGGTCTAAAAAATCTCTTAGTCTGATCATCTAATCCTTACTTGGGGGGTGTATGCACTAATAACATTCACTATATTTTCTCCAATAACTAGTTTAACTAATATAATCTTATCGCCTTTTCTAATGACAGCAACTACAGTTCCTACAAAACACTTGGTAAGATGTTAGTAAGTTAGGTTAAGCACAACTGGGCATTCGATACTTCTCTATAAGCTTGAACGGCAAACCCCTCCCTCTAGAAACCTAGAGGTACAACCAATGTTAACAGAAAATATTGAAATATGGTGCACTTTCGTTCCAAAATGATTAATTTAGCGATCCAAAGCAATTCATAATTATTTATTTTTTTTCAAATAATATTTTCTTAAGGTTTCCTTGGGAGTAAAAAATATCAAATATAATGAACTAAATCTAAGGTGAGTAAACTTTTGACTTGACAAAATTGTAAAAAATGGGTCATAATGCTAATAAAAATGTGTTACTATATGATTAATTTGGAAAATAACTTACATTTTATTAGATTTATTATTGTTGAAAAAAAAATAAAATTACTCTAAGCTAGAAGTACCTTGAATTCTTATAGTGCAAACCATATAAGTATACCCTTATTGTACCACAATTTACATACAATTTAGAGCATGTAACGTACTACTTTCCCATTTCTGTTCCACGTACTAAAACGATCTACGTTCCAAGTAACATGGGGTACGACCACTTGAACTAGGCTCAAACTCTTAGTACCTAATAATTGGTTGATAATAAAGAAGAACACACTTCTTGTGTAGAATATTGTTTCTTCATAGGCTTTTTGATACTAATAACACTTAATAAATTTTTTTCATTAATTTATCAAAAAAAAAAGAAAAAAAAAATCATTAAAACTTTGACTAATCATATGCTTTTATCTAATTATCTACCATTAGTTTGTTTTTTGGTTTTTTGGTTTTGTTTTTAATTTTTAGAGTGGGTTGTGAATTTCCAGAATGGCTGTGATTTTGGTTGGGTAAGAGCTTGGTTTGAAGCACAGAATTATAGACTCTTGCCATGATGCTACCAGCATTAATAATAGCCAACCTAGGAGATGTGTCATCTAAATTGCCATATCTTGAAACACGGAGCAACAAACTCTTACAGTGATGCTTCCGACACTATTAGCCGATGTAGGGGATGCATGTGATAATCTAAAATAACCTTTTATTTTATCTTAGTTCCTCATGATTATGGTATGGGGAGTCCCATTAAGAATTTACTTAGGTTGTGTTTGGATCATAGATTTAGGTAGGAATTTGGAAAAAGAAAGCAAAATGTGAAGAGAAATGTGAATGAAATATTTTTCTCTATTTCTCTCGTCTTTTTCTTTCCCTTTCTAAATCCCTATTCAAATCCATGATCCAAACACAACATTAGTCACTAAATCCTTATGAGTCCATTATACTTAAAAAATGATAATGTCATAATATCATTCTACATTAATAGAGACCTGGGTTCACAAAAACTGGTCTAATTGATAGGTGTTCTTTTTATGATGATGATTGTTGTTACAATTTTCAAGTGAACTTCACAAGTTGATTTTTCATGATTGATTCAAGACAGGGTAGAGAAGATTTGTTCGGGATTATAGTCATATTTGGTGAATTTGGTGTAGACATGTCATTCTTTTCTGGATTCTTATTTTCACTGTATTGTATCATAACTGTAGTTACTTTGACTGAGTTAACTTGGAACTCCTTTTATGGTTCTCAGATAAAGACAGCAGCAGATGCGTGCGTGGATTATGACATCAACAAAAAGCAGAAGCCATAATATTGAAACAGAAAATGTCCCCACGGCAATGTTGCTTCCACAAAGATGCAGACTGTTTTATCATCCTGATCGCATTGAGTTGTCATCTGGTTGAACAGAGAACATGCTTCAAGCAGTGTCTGTGTCCCTCAGTTTTATGGTTCGTGACTAAATGGTTTTGACTTGCTACAGGAAGGAAGATATTTAACTCTGTATGGTTTTTTGTATAAGTCACAATGGGAGTGTGGTTTTGTGTTTCTTTTTTAAAGCCTAGGTCATTTGGCACTGGAAGGGCCATTGTACATTGTCTCATAGACAGTATGAAGATGGTTTATCATTCAATTTGTGTTGCTTTGGATTCCGGATAAGTACCCTTCTTCTATTAGTTGGCTCTATCTCTCCGGCTTACAATTTTAAGGTTTTTTTGGGACAAATTCAAAGGTATTGATTCTTTATGTAATAGTGTCCTATTTGTCCTCTTTTTTAACTTCTATTAGTTGCTTCTATCTCTCTGGCTTACAATTTTGAGGGTTTGTTGGGACAAATTTAAGGGGTATTGATTCTTTATGTGATAGTGTGCAATTGGTCCTCTTTTTGAGCTTCTTCGGTTTTTAACCCCCTTTCTAATCTTTTAAAATTGGGTTTGTTTCTTGAATTTAAATAGGGATTTAGAAAGTGAGTTGAAGGAAGGAAATATGAATGAAATATAAATTAACTTGCTTGTTTTGAGTTTTTTAAAAACACTTTTTAAAAAATTTTACTTTCTTATTTTTCATATTTTATTATTTTTATTGAATTTTTTTAATATTTTAAGTAATTTTTATTTTTATTGTTGTTTTTAGACACATCTAACATAAATACACAAAAGTATAATTTTTGTGAATTTTTTAAAATTTTTTTTACTAAATATCAAAAATACATAAAAATTCAATATATTTTTTTGTATTTTTATGTATTTATTAATTTTTTAAAATATTTTTTCATATTTTTTTTACTTTTTAGATACATTTAAGTAAGGAGCATCTAAGAAAGTAAAAAAAAAATGCTTAAATTTTAAAAATATTCACTAAAAATAAAAAAATACGAAAAATAAAAAATTAATTTTTAAAAAAATTAATTCAAAAAATTCAAACAAAACACATAGAATTAATTTTTTTTTTTTCAGTTTCTCTTGTATTTTTTATTATTTTCCTGTCCAATTTCCTATTTCAATCTATGAATCGATTTCACTTCTTTCCTTCCACTTTCATGTAAATTTTTTATTTTATTTTTGATTCGCACCAACAAAATTTTCATCTATGCTTTTGAGTTCTCAGAAAAAGAGAACACAAAATTTTAATTAAAAAGCGGGGAAAAAAAAGTACAAGAGGAGAAGAAGTCACCACAGAGAACAATAATAAAAGTAAAAGAAACACATGCTCATATCCTACATATGCCTCACCAATTCCTAAAAAATAATAATAATAAAAATAATAAAATAAATGAGAAACCCCCTTTAAAAGGAGCAATTAATACCAAAAAACAGAGTAAAAAGACAAATCCTCCACCCCCCAATCCTCTACTTCTTATTTTCCTAATTAATAGTATTCTTTTTGTTAACAAAAAAATGAAAAAAGGGATTTCTGGTTTCACATAAACATGAAGTTTCATTTAAGTGACACATGAAATCTAACACAGGATCACAACAATAATTCAAAATTTAAAAGTTAAACCAAAAAAGAAAAAGCAAAGAGAGCATAACAAATATTCAACTGATTTCTCTAATGTTTACCATTGCAATATCAATGAACAATGAGAAAGCTTCAAAAAGCGGTGCTGCCACTAGGTGTGGAACGAGGACTAGAATGGCCAAATAATCGAGTTCAGGACTGTTCATGTCACCGTCGATGAAGTCTGACCGAGTTCAACACAGTTTATGTCGGAGTCTAAGCAAGTTTAAATCCATACATGAGCTGAGCACAAACCAGATCATAAAAGCAAATTTGTAAAACAAATCTGGACTCTGACTGTAAATTGAAGTTACAAAGAGTTCCTCGGATGCAAAAAGATCCATTGTGTATAAAATTACAACCATCAAAGGCAAATAAATAACAATGATAATTCTCATCGACATAAGATACTGTAACAACGATCCACTGCTGCAGCCAAATCCACGAACCCCTTTCCAAATCTTTCCTAAACACTAACGAGTAAACTAGTGAAACTATGCCAAGCTTAAATCAATATAGGCTAAACCCGAAAGAATATATGATGTATATATGTACCTTTGGGTATCACTTTGCTGTGGCTGGAGGAGGAGATTCATGCATTTGTTTGCGGCTACAGCAGAGTAAGGGGGGGGGGCTAGAACAGAAAATAGAAGCCATGAGCTGAGAAGCAGCAGCTAACCTCTGTTGCTGTGCTGATTTAGATCTGACAATCACCCAAAGTTTGCTTCTTAACTTCATGCAATCAACATAGGTTATGGAAAACAGATAATTGGAATAAGCCATGTAAATAACAAGGAATTGAGTAAGAGATTGAAAGCTGAAATGAAAATAAAAGGATTTAAATAACAAACGAATGAGGAGAACTTCTTCATACCTTTAAGAGTAACAATAGTGGTGAGATTGAAGAAAAGGAGCCACAAAAAAATCCCTGTAAAACTTAAACTAAATCATCCAATTATGGCTAACTTATCATCAAAGAAGTCCACAGCAGCTTTAGGAGATGCAAAGGGACTAGCAGGGACGTTGTGTTCCAAGCTACATTCAAATACAACAACATTTTCAAAACAATAAATGCAAACTTAAAAAGAGATTATTTCAAACCCCAAAGTAGAATAAACCCAGAAAAGCCAGGGGATTGCAAAAAGCTAATAATTAAGGAAAATCTAATTAAAAACATGAGGATTGCTATTATGGGTTGCATTTCTGTTGATCCAAAAAGTAAATACCTTTCTGGTAAATCACTTTCTTCATGCAAATGGGGGCTTTCTTTGCCACTTCCATTGCCAATGTCGTTACTTGCTATTGATGTTTCTCTCTCTTTCTCTTTCTCAGATACATTTGCAGTCTGCTGCAATTGCTGATCACCCGCAGCAGTTGCTGCAACTGCCATTGTGGGGTTGGATCCATTCTCTGCAGGAAAAAAATAGATTGGCATCAACATTTTCATTTCTCAACTCAACGTTGATTCTACTAAGCATAATAACCACTGTGACCTAAACAAACAATAATTCAAGGTTAACACATTTCTCAGATTGAAATCAAAATGAGAAACACCTTCTATGACTTCAGGACTGACAGGCAAAATTTACCTCCAAGACTGCAATACAAGAACCATTGTGAACAAATAGTTGAAGAATCGATAAACCCTCTCTCTCCGTTCTTCATTACCTTCTTCTCTGCCCTGCCATGCCCATGTATTCATTGGGGTTTTGATAAACACTCGGATCTTGGTGAATCGCAAGAAAAGATCTGGTCCAATGGCCTTAGGAGTATGTAGTCAATTATAAAAAAGGAAGCGACAAGATAGTGATCTAGTCAGACACAGTTTTAATGGCATTTTGAAAGTATACAAAAAAGTAATTTGTACTTCTAAAGTGTTAACCAAACACAACCCAAATCTTTTGCTTTTTTGGACTAAAGAATATTAGTGCCCTGTCATGGCATCCTGTTCTGTAATCCAAGAAGAAAGTAGGGTGTCCTGTGAGTTGTATGACAATTAATTGTCATCATGCCCACTAATACAGTCTACAGTCCTTCCTTAAAATGAGTAATTAAAACATTTATATTTAAAGAAAACCAAAAACTAATAAAAGAATATGACAATTGAAGAAACTAATGCATGTTTTGGGTGTAACTGGAAAAGCAAGACCCAACAATAATCACACAAAAAATAAAGTTCAACTAAAGTACCTTTGTAGAAGTCCTATCATTATCTCTTTCTTAATAAAGGAGATTGTTCAAGTGCTAAACTCTGATTCCCTCCACAATCTTTTCATACAAGCTGAAAATGACAGAAGGAATAAAGTAGATTATCAATGAAGGAAGGAAACAATTGAGTTTTGATACTGACTAAGCATGCTTGGCAAAGAACACAACAAAACAGAAGCTTGATAATATTAAAGTTGGTGCAAGCTATGATTTCTTTTGGAATTCCACTTTCGAAACCAGTATAAAAAGTAACACATGCAAGAGCAATATTATTTTTCCAAGCAGATCATAATTACTAGTCCATGAAGTGCAGATAGAAGTGTAAATGTGCCAGCTTTACAAACAATAAAAAATCATCAATATTTTATTTATATTTGTTCATATAAACTTTATAACTTGGCCACTGAAATTTAACCTGAAACATGATTTCCTTGCTGGAAGCACTTTCAACTCTTCAAATGAGTCCAAATCTTAGATTGAGTGGATGGAGAAAGGGATTGAATGAAATAGTCTTTCAGTTCAACACTTCCGTAGAATACAGAAAAGTGAAAGACAAGAATTTTACATACCTTGTTGTCCGGATTCACAGCACATCAGTGACCAACATAAAAATACAAAAGTGAATGGAATTACAAATAGCAACAGAACATAGAGAAAAAGGGGTACAAAACACACACAGATGAAGAACAAACAAATAAACAATCATGCACTAAATAAAAAAGCAAAAAATCCAGAAATTGCATACAAACAATACTTAATCACCTACTTACCAAAACTATACAAATTGCAATCCCTTGTAAGTAATTAAATCAATGCACAATAAATCCAGAAATTGCAACACCTAGACTTGTAGATTCAGCTAATTCCAACAAAATTAACTCAAATTTCAATGCTAATACATATATAAAAAACGAGTACGGCGAGAATCGATCGAATTACCCGTAGCTCTCTAGGGTTTGGTCGTCCTTCAAGATCTGCCATCGCCGGCACTGAGGTTGTGGTTCTGCGGCAGAAGGAGGTGCTGCGTGACGGGCAACAACGGCGGATCGGTGATGGCAGATCCAACACTAATGGTGATTGTTGTTGTTGGGGATGAGAGTTTCAACGCTAGGGTCTCTACAGGGGAGAGAAAGATAATAAAACCCTACACTACAACAAAATGCACTTTTAGCGACCAAATTTAGGGACTAAAATTTAGTCATCAAAACGTGTGGCATTGGCGACCAAAATTTTTTTTAGTCGGCAAAAGTACAATATTTTGCTACTAATTTTTTTTACTCGGAAAATATTGATTATTGGCGACTAAAAAAAATTTAGTTGCTAAAAATGGCACAATTGGCTACTAAAAAATGTTTTAGTCGCTGTATAGATAGTTTTGGCTACTAAAATTTTTTAGTCGGCGAATGAAAAACAAAAATTTACTTTTAGACTTTTGGCGAATAAAAAGTAAGGAACCAAAAATTTATTTTCAGCGACTAAAAAATGATCGCTGTATTGCTAGTTTTGGCTGCTAAAATTTTTGTCGCCGAATAAAAAATAAAATTTACTTTTTATCTTTGACGACCAAATTTATTTTTAGCGACTAAAAAATATTTTAGTCACCAAAGAATTAAAATATTTGAAGGGAAAATTTCGAATTTTGGAGGGATTTATAAAATTAATTGGCGACCAAAATGTTTAGTTGCCAAATTACTTCTTTTAGCAACTAAAATAATATTTAGTCGCCGTTAATTAAGGTTTTGGCTACTAAAAAAAATTTAATCTTTGTCCATTAATTAGACTCTCTGTCAGTCCTCTTCCATTTCACTCTCTTATCATCCCTCTTCTCTCTCTCTCTCTCTCTCACTCCATCGCAGGCGACCCTCCTACCAGCCACTATCCACCACTATCACACACGAGCACCAACCTCCTCACCGGCGACGGTACAACCCACCTCCCCACCAGCGACGGTACCACCCATCTCCCTACCAGCGACGGACAACAATAGCTACTTTGATTTGCGTCTCCTCCAGTGCACACCAGGTATTTTCAGCCTCTTCCTCTCTCTCTTTATATATATATCTTCACCCAATTTCTAGGGTTTTATAACAAAGGATTTTTTTTTTTGGTTATAAATCAGAGGGTTGGAGCTTCTCTTCTATCTATTTGTTGCAAGAGCAGCGTTTTTTCTCTCTATTTCTCGCTCGCAACAACCATTGGAGCACACCCTAGTATTTCCCCTTCTCTCTCTCTCTCTCTCTCTCAACCATTGGAGCACACCCTATTAAATCCAATTAATTCTTCTATTGTCTTACATAATGATTCTTAACCGTACTTCCATTCAATTCTAATTTTCTTTTAATCAATTAGTTTGTGTGTGATGATGTTGCTATTGTTGTTGTTGGTAGTTCATTTGTTGCTGTTGTTTGGTCTATGCTTTTTATTGTTGTTATTTTCCACCCTCTTGCTCACCATGTGTTTGACAAAATGTTGAAACGAAATTGGTGAAGTTGAATCGACAATTTGTTTGCCTTTTTATAATTGAAATTGAAATTGAATGTTGTGGAAAGTGAAATTTCAAAGTCATTGAACCTTCCTTGCATTCTTCTGGGCTGACCCACTAGTTGACTTGGAAATTAAGACCATAAACAAGAGTATGTTTGATGAGTTAATAAAGCCTCATTTTAATTCATTAGTACCCCCTCACACAATCACACACACACACATATAGATATACGTATTTAAAAATTGGAGAGGAGTACTTTTATTTTCTATTTCTAATTATCAAGTTTTAGGTTAAAAAAAAAGTTCTACTAAACAGGGTAATAAATGATGGGATTTGGGTTACCAGATTAAGGACTTGCTAAAAATGGGTTAGTACAATATATGATAGAAAATGTTAGGTTATAGTGGCATACATATGTAGCCAAGTGAGCCATTAGCCTTTAAAGAGCAATGTCAATAGTATTTTTATCCTTTTGATAAGCATTCTAGCAAATGGTATATGACTTCTGTGTTAAGCATGTATAATCCAAAATATGTGTGGCAAGGTGACAAGTTATGCTTCTATACTGACAAACCAACAAAAGTAGGTAAAGCATTTGTGAGCAGCTAAAGCATACGTGATCAACAAATTATGCTCAACAACGTGTTTATGCTAGTAAATACTTCAACTTAACAAGTCCCATAAAAAAATTAGGAATAACAAAACAAACTGGCAATGCAAAATTAACCTCTATTTATGCCAAAATATCCCCAATTCTCTGTACAAAACCCTAATTTTGGAGTCAGCTAACAAAGAACAATAAGATTAACACTAAGAGAAAAAGTGAAAAGATAATCTCAAAGAATCATATACAGTTGTTGGATTAATAGATGCAACACGTGATGGTTGCTTGTTTGACAAACGCCAAAATTTTACCTACAACAATCAAGAGTAGCCAATGGAGATTACCATTAATCAGTTCGCCTTTCCCGCTATTGAACTTGTCAATCCTTGTTACTTCTCTTGCTAATCCAACAGTTATCTTATTAGATGCTAATCCAGCTGCCAATAGAAAAGCATGTGAATTTACCAAACAGTCCAAAGTGCCTAAAGTAAAGTCCACATGGAAAGCTCACAAAAGCAAGAGTAAAATTGGCAACTGGAAAAGGGAGCCAATGCACTGTAGCAATGACAACTCCCTCTTATTATATACAAGAATTAATTAATTAATTACATAAATAAATACCCAAAGCAAAATTTTGGTTGTTCAACTATAATTTGTGAAAGATGCATGATCCTAACGTCCACGTGTATTGGGTGTACAATTATAACACGTTTAAGAACTCTTAGAGAGGAAAAAAAAAAAAAGTATTAAAAAAGTCAATATTATAATTTTTTTAAAAACATGATAGACTTAGAATATGAATAGCAAGAAAACATAAAATAGAGTATAGAAAAATATTGGCACATGCACAATTAAGAAGACAATATAATGAGAAAGACAACCAAACAAAATTCGTTTACCACATCATAATGAAAATTCCCCAAAACCAAACAAAATTGAATGCAAAATACAGGCTTAATTCACCACTACCAATATATTGTTACCCCACCAAAATGGATCTTTAAAAATTGGTTCAGGATTGTCATGTTATATAACCAAATTACAAAAGCAAGCACCCATTTCATTTAAATTTAAGGGTTGGTTTGGCGTAAACTAAATAATACAAAAAGTCAAAAAGTCACTATCCTATTTAAGTCACATCATCTTATTTAAATCACATCACCTCTCTAACACATCACATCAAACCCAACCCAAACCCAACCCATATAAGCCAATAAGTCAAAAAGTGCACTTTTTTAGAACATCCCAAACCAACTCTTAAATCTAGCAAAAGATGGAAAATAATACCAGAAAAGAGCAATCAATATAATAAGAAAAAAAAATGAAAACAAGATGACATACAATATGATCAATTAACACTTTTCTCCATGAGCTTGGCATATGCTACATCCATCATAGTTCCACTTGGGAAGCTCTTCGGGATCTTTAAAAGGTACAAAAAGAGTAAAAAGTCTACGTAAGACCAACAACAACATATATTACAAATCAATGTGGCTAATCAAGAAGATAAACAATAACCACAAGAATAAAATGGAAACTAAATATTTAAATAATGAAAAACTGTTACCCTTGCTCTACTTCTGAGATCGATGCTAGAATCACCAATCCTTTTCAACAATTCAAAAAAAAACCTTGGGTGAATAAGACATAAAAAAATTCAAAATTAACTATATAATTTGGAAAATTCTATAAAAACTAAAGACAACCACCACTAACACTTGGGAAAGAAAATCACCAAAGATGGTATATTGACAAGACTATCATTAATAGAGTTCCAAATTCAAAGAATGAGGGGAAAAAATTCCCAAATAAAATCATTGAAAATTTGTATCAAATGACGGCAAACATTCTGAAAACTATAGCACATGAAGATTAGGAATGTAACTGTTATTGATTGCTGCTTGATACATACCCAATTAGAAGTTGTTACTCAAACCCAAAAATGATGGCGTGTAGGTTTGGTAGAGAGTGAGAATTGATGAGAGAGGAAAATACAACTAAGAAAAAGAAAACTCACATCACTCAAATGAAAACAACAAAAGCCCTACATGGAAAAACCCTAAACCCACAACAAAAGCAGGAACATCAACACCCAACAAGGTCAAGATTAATTTCGAACCATTATCAGATATGATGTAGCTAGCATGGTTCTGTAGAGTAAGTACTCAAGTCACCCTCCAAAGTTTTATAAACTATAAGAACCTTCCATATTTCAAAGAATTATAGAGAAGTTTCATTGAAACATAATTGTTAATTTACTCCAAAGTAAAATCTTTGAAAGCCTCAAACCATTTTTCACTCCCATACATCTAAGGCCTCATTTGGGAACAGGCTAATTTAGTAACTTTTTGGCTATTTGGCTAAAATATGAGCTAAAAAAAACTAGTATGTTTGGGATGACTTTTTGGATTTTTACGAAAAGATGTGCAAAAAGTAGAGAGAAAAGAGAATCTTTGACTTTTTGGTATGGGTTGTTGGCTTTTTGGCTTAGTAACTTCTTGACTTTCTGACTAAAAAGTTCGGTTGCCAAACGAGGCCTAATACCAATACAAAATTCAATTACCCAACACAGGGGGTGAAGAGGAGATCAAAAAATGAGTAATATGGGTCAAAAGAACACTACATACACGTACACCATACAAACAAATAAACGCCCTCTCATTAACTAACTCATAGCTCAAAATTCTAAATCACATCAAATAGATAATAATGGGAATGAAGCCCATGTTCCAAGTTCCTATTCCAAGTTAATCTTCTAGCACTTTCCATTCCAGATCATAATTGTATTTGAAAAAGGTTTGAGACCCCCCTTTTTGGAGACCCCCACAACGCCCTTTGGATCTCCACCATTGATGTATGTGTGGAACCCATTCGTGTATGTGCAGGGCCCACACAGATCCAAAGGGGGTTGTTGATTGTATTTTTAACAAGGTTATTGGGTTTTGAAAAGAAAACTTTGGATTTAAAAATCATATCAGAATTAATAAATGAAAGCAATCTCTTTGTATAAAATATAATAGTATGAGAGAGTAATCTCAACAAATTTCAAAGTTGTGCGTAGTATGATAAGTTAACATGTAAATGGAACCAAAACAACCACCAAATCAAACAAAGAATGGGAAATTGCAAAGTGGAATTCGCAGGAAAGTCTTGAATATATAAGCCACATGTTAGAATTGGTCAAGAAAACGAAGTTACAAGAATCAAGAACAGAGAAAATAATAATGTTTACCCTAAAATGGAATCACAAGTTGTCTGATTGTAGATGGAGATAAGCCTCTGCGATGATCAAGATCCGAGGGCTTCAATGGAAGCGGTGACGATGAGTGGTCTGAGATCCGACGTCTAATCAGACGGTGCAGACAAAAGACGGAGCCGCCTTATGCCGCCGCTCGGAAATGGAGGATGAGACGGAGACTGGTTAGCAGGGGAAGAAAGAAAAGAGTTATGATCCTGTGCAGGTTCATACCTGTGTTGATGGTGGAGACTTGTGATGGAGTAGATAGTTATAAACCTACAGGACCCGTTTGTTTTTAGTGAGATAGAATGGAGGGGATTCATATTAAGGATAAATTTATAGGACCCGTTTGTTTTTAGAGAGATAGAATGGAGGACATTCATATTAAGGATATTAATAGTGAGAGGATTGTTAGTGAATTGATTAATAGTGAGGGGATTAATAGTGAGGAATTGTTAAATTATTTTTATATAAAATAATAAAATAAATAAAAAAATATAAAAAATTAAACATTATATTTAAAAAAAATTTCCAATATATAAAAAATAAAAAAAATAAAAAAATTTCTAATCCCCTCACTATTTTTCTAATACCATCTCTATCTCCTCCTTACCAATTCCCCTTCCTCCTCCTTACTAATATCAAGAGATTACTAATCCCCTCCCTATCTCTCAAAACAAACACCACATTCTTAATCCCCTCCTCACTATCAAACCCAATCTCCTCCCTATAATCCCAAACAAACGGGGCCATAAAGGCTTCGTTTGGGTAGTGGTTGGTTGTTTTATTTTTTTATATTTTTAGTTATTTTAGCTTTGAGTTAAAAAGTCTGGGTTGAGAAAGATTTTTTATTTTTAATTTTTTTAATTTTTTTGTGAGAGAAAGAATATAATAATTATGGGTTAGATGTGATATTTTGTCTTATTAGGTTAAAAAGTCTATTTTTTTTAGGGGGACTATTTTAGCCAAAAAAAAAAAATCTAAAAAACCACTCCCCAAACATAGGCAAAATAATTGTAGTTATATTTGTGATAAAATTTACAATTAGGAGGTGTTTAGAAAGAAAGTTTGTTTAAAATAGTTTACTAAAAGATAAAATAAATTAAAATAGTGAATAAAATAAAATATCATATTTAATTTATATTTATATATATTTTTTTTTACAACCATCAAATTAATTATTAAAAAAAAAATCAATTTCTCAAATATAACTATTTTAGTCAAGTTAAAATAGCTAAAAAGTCAACTGGCCAACACTTCCCAAACAAGGGCTTAGTAGTATTAGGGTAATTTGCAAACGATTTGGCTTGTCACCAATTGAAAGTTAAACTGGATCAGATAATTGAGATCTCTAACCGATAAGAGTTATTAAACGAAAGGCTCTTACTAATAAGAATTTATAAAAATAAGATCTAGTTAAATTTTTTTCAAAGACTTTTATTGATAAGAGTCTTCCGTTTAATGACTCTTATAGATCAGAGCCTTTCGTTTAATATTTCCTACCGATCATAGATCTCAACTATTTAGTCCAGTTGAAATTTCAACTAGAGACAAGCCACTCCCAATTGCGAATACACTTTCATATTTACTTAAAATACCGACTGTCTTTGTGATTTAGAAAATTATAAATATTTTTTCATTAAAAAAATTTATTTAACAGAATTAATTATAAAAATAAAATTTCTAATTACTCTTTTATACAATAATAAAATTACTTGTATTATTAATTAAAATATATTTTGACATTATTAAAAAAATTAATTAACTTTATAATTTATTAATAAAAAGACTCTTTTGTTATGTAATTAAAAATTTGACGGATATAATCTAATTTTTAAAATTATAGAGAACAATTTCTATTTTAAATAAATTTCATAAAGTATATTTTTAATTTATTTTATATTAATATCCAAGGAAAAGAACAAGAGTGTCATTTGTGTATGCTGTAGTTTTTCATTTATTTTTCTAAAGATTTTTTTGTCTTTGTATTTAATTTTGTGTGGAAACTTTGTATAAGTCTATATCTAGGTTTGTAGACTTTGTAGAAAGTTGTAAAGTTTTTGGCCGTATTGGTGTCAACAAATTAGATATGTAATAATGTTAGGATAGACTTTTTGGATTACGATGACTTTTGATTTTTGTTTGTATAGACAAGATGTATTCTATAAATTGGCATTCAAACCAATGAATAAATCAATGTAAATTCTCTCCATCTTCATTGCCGAAACTTCTCCTTTCCTTGTTCTGTTTTTGTTGCTTAACTCAATAAACATAGTAGAATAGTAGTAGAAAGCTTATTTCCTTTATTTGTAATTGGTATCAAAACTTGGTGAAGAGCTTTTGAAAGTAAGATCAAACTATGTAAGTATTTATGTCTATGTATAAATTTTGATAATAGTGTATGGTGTGCTTAATGATATAAATAAATAAATAAATAAAATAAAAATTTCAAAATCAAAAAAATATTATTAGTCCAGTTTAGTTTTTAATTGTGTATCATTTGTATTTTATATTTTCATAATTATTTGTTTCTTTTATAGTTGTTGTAAAACCTATATGCTTAGTGTATGTTAAAGTCCATATACTCATTAAGATCTTTTGACTAGTGGCCATAATTAGGCTTTTTAAGTCTTTAAGATCATAAAGAAAGGTTTTAAGCACCAGATAAATACACTAGGAGGGTCTTAGGTACCAACAATAATCTATAATGACAATTAATCCTGGAGATATAATATGCTTTGGAAATACAAAAAATAGTGTTAATAATAAATAAGACCATAGCTTGCATATTACTAAAGAGTCTGCAAATATAAATAGTTCGCATTCTAGTTTAAATAATATTACTGATATTATGTGTTCTTGGTATTCTAAATTAGATAAAAATCAAAAAATAAATCAAAACTATCTAGAAATCAAAGTTGAGTCTATAGAATATAAAATAGACAATTTAGGTTCTATAATAAATATTAACTTAAACAAAAAAGCAAAAACCCAAATAAATAATTTGGTGACAAAATTAGAAATCATATCCTTCATAAACAATGATGGAATGAATACTCCAGGAGATAACTCCATTCCTAGGCTATTTTATGATACAGAAGATATTATGGTACTTCAAACCAATACCTATAATAGGACTAAATTTGAAAATATTGTTGAAATATTAGATTATTAAAGAAAATTATATAAAGATCTAGATTTAGGTATTGATGAAAGAAATAGGCTACTAGATCAGATAAGAGAAACTTATCTAGAACATGAAACCCTTTTACAACACTTTAATTATGATATTAATATGTCAACTAATGATGATGATAGCTAATCATCCTCATCTGAAGAAACTGTTGGAAAAATTATACCAAACTACATGGATAATATAATTTAAGAATATGTAAACAGTTTTTGGGAAAAATCAAAACTGAAATAAATTGACAAAACAACGTAACAAAACTTACAATACATAAATTGATAAAACCTGATCGAGTCGAGTGTGTGACACTTTTTCTTTAAGACAGATTCGTCCTCCCACCAGTGTTTAGGATTCAATGGACGTCTATCTCCCAGGATACAACGATCAATATCTTGCACTAGCAGCACTACTATTGCAAGCTTAACGAACTTCGCTGCGCATGTACTCTCTTTATGGGAAACTTAGACTCAAGAAATATGAATAATAAATGCAAAGTAAAAAAGAAATGACCATTCTACTTTTAAAATGAAGTGAGGGAGATGGAATATATAGACTTCTATGTGACTCTTTAGAAAGATTGTGACCCGAAGATGGAATATATAGACTTCTATGTGACTCTTTAGAAAGGCTGTGACCCTTTTATAGGACACACCGTTCCATCTCATGAGACACAACCATTGGAGTAAATTTAAATTCAAAATTTCCAACAATCCCCCACATGAATGAAATTTACGGAAAGGATATGCAACAATATGCAGACAAAGAGAGAGTACATTAAGGAAATACCTTGCATCGAGATAGGTAGTTTTTGACTTTGAACCTTCCCTAGTGAAAGCCTATCGGACTTCCTAGCTAATCAGTGGACGTGATGCCTTGAACTGTTCAGCCGTTTGTATAAGCCAATTGTAGCGACCCTAATTTTCTTTAGTAATTATTTATTATTATTATGGTTATTATTATCTTATTTTATTTTTGACTTTATTAATTGTGTGGTCACATGAGAGTTAATGTGATATTTAATGGATTTAATGATGTAATTATTAATTGGGTGGTTACATGAGATTTAATGTGATATTTAATGGATTTAATGATGTAATTATTAATTGGGTGGTTACATGAGATTTAATGTGATATTTAATGGATTTAATGATGTAATTATTAATTGGGTGGTTACATGAGATTTAATGTGATATTTAATGGATTTAATGATGTAATTATTAATTGGGTGGTTACATGAGATTTAATGTGATATTTAATGGATTTAATGATGTAATTATTAATTGCGTGGTTACATAAGGTTTAATGTGATATCTAAGGCATTTAATGTTGTAATTAATAAATTTACTACATATTATAGTTTATTAAGCTATTATATATTGAGATTTAGGTTTATAGTATAAGATTATTAGGTTATACTAGCTCTTAGGTTATTATATATATAATAAAATAGAAGTATTAAACAAGGTTTAGGAGATCAAAAGGAAGAGAGAGAGAGAGAGAGAGAGAGAGAGAGAGAGAGAAATCAAAGAAGACAAAGAAAGGGGCGGCAACAAGGAAAAAAGAGGAGAGGGAAGAAAAGGAAAGATTAGGATTTTGTTTTGGTGACTCTAGTAGTTTTCTAAATATTCTTTGATCTTCAAAATAATATTGTGAGTACAAAACCCACTTCCCTTGATTTATGTTTAATTCGTTGTTTTTATTTATTTATTTTTTTATTTGTTTGATGTTAGTTTGATTTTGTTTTTACATTTATAAAGATGATAGATTAATTTTAATTATTCTGATTAGTTGTTTATGTAAGGTTTAGGGTTTTTAGATGATTGTTTGATTTTAATTATTTTGATGAGTTGTATATGCAAGGTTTAGGGTTTTTATATGGATTTATTTTATGGTTGTAATTACACTCATGGTCATATGAAATTAAAATTAATTAAGAACCTATAGATAAATTCCTTATACTCTACCATGACTCCATGGATTGTTGTTTTATTTGAGTGATGGGGAAAAGAGTGTATAAAAAAGTGAGGATTATGAGAGTTGTTTAATGCCTTATGCCCGGCATTGTTATATTTGTCTCATGATGTT